AGGACCATCGAGGAGCATCCTTGATCATTTGTCGAAAACACCACGCACGAAGCCGAAAAAAAAACAGGGAACGGACGTCCGAGCGATGGCCAGCGCCGACCCTGCCGACGCCCGCGCCCAGCTCTCGCTAGCGCACGCGGCACGCGCACGCAAACGCGGTCGGAGGGATGCCTCGGCCGTCGGGCCGCTGCCTCGGCCCGACGGCCCACGGCTGCCGACCGTGGTCGAGGGCCTCGGGTCGCCTCCAGCGCCGCAGTGGCGGCGCAGGCGGCATCAACCCCATCAGCGACAGCATCGACAGCAGCGACAACACCGAGCGCCGCAGCGGCGGCGCGGGCGCCCGCGGGCGACGCCAGCGGAGTCCAGCACCCCCAACCAGGCGGGCGGACCAGTGAGTGGCAGTGGTGGTGCGGTGCCTGGTGGAAAAAGGGACGAAAGCAACGCGTGGGCCCCGTGGTCGGAGCACGCGGGCGGGAGACGCGGTGACGCGCCACGAAGGGCCGCCGCATCATGAAGCGAACCGCGCCTGGTCCCAGCAGCAGGCGGCAGAGCGCCAGGAGGAGCCTGCTCGCGGGGCAGCCCCATCGCCGCAGGCGCCCGTCCAGGACGCAGTGGCGGCCTACGGCGGTGAGCAACCACGCCCGCCGCTCCCAACGGCGCCGCCGCCGCCAGCGGCGCCGCCGCCAACGGCACCACCGCCGCCAGCGGCGCCGCCGCCGACGGCGCCACCGCCGCCAGCGGCGCCGCCGCCAACGAGGTCGGCTCGCAGCGCAGCAAGAGTCCGCGCGCAGGGGCGAGGGGGGGGCATGCGCGATACCAATGCTTGAGCTGCTGAAAATGAGCCACGGCGGCGTGCGAGATCCTCCTCCTCCTCCTCCTCCTCCTCCTCCTCCTCCTCCTCCTCCTCCTCCTCCTCCTCCCCCGCCCCCCGTCCCTCCTTACGCTCGTCTCCTCCCCCGCCCCCCCGACTGCACCTTTCTCTCACCTGTCCATGCGCCCATGCGCCCCCTCCATCCTCGCACGCTCTGCGCACGCCTCCCCACAGACTCGCGCCCTGAGCCAGGGGGGGCCTCCTGAGGCCGCCGCCAGCGCCTGTGCCGGCCCGGGTGGCGCCTGCTGCATCAGGTTCTGCAACAGCTTAACAGCTGTTATAGCGCTCGCAGGTTCTGCATCAGCTTTTGCAAGTGCTCTCATGGCGCCTGCAGGTCCTGCATCAGGTACCGCAAGTGCTCTCGTAGCGCTCGCAGGTCCTGCATCAGGTTTTGCAAGTGCTCTCTCATAGCGCTCGCAGGTCCTGCATCAGGTTCTGCAAGTGCTCCCATAGCGCTTGCAGGTCCTGCATCAGGTTCTGCAGCAGCTCTAGCACTTGCAGGTCCCGAGGGGCAGGGGGGGGGGCGGCTGCGGCCCTGCAGGGTCAGGCCCGAGAGCTCTCCGCTGGGTCCGCTGCCGGCCTCCGATGGCCTGCCGCCCGATGCCGCGCCTCCCGCGGTCCTGCCCTGCGCGACCGCGCGCCTGCTCCGACGCCCCCGCGCCTGCTTCGGCACGCACCCGCGGGCCGCCGCGCCTCCTGTGGGCATGGCCGCCACCGCGGCCACCACTGCCCGCCCGCCTCAAGTCTCCTGGCGGCCGCTAGCGTCGAAGTTGACCCTGGGCGGCCTGATCTGTTGTCGTGCGCTGCCTTCTGCCTCTTCTGCTGCGCCCTCCAGTCGTCCGCAACGGCCTCCCTCTTCTTGCGCGCGGCTTCCATGACCAACTCCTCGCCCTTCTTGAGCTCCACCGTGTTCGTGAGCACGGGGATGCGGACAGCGACGACACGACCGCTGACGAGTAGGTTCGTCTCTCTCGGCTCGAAGGCCACGTTGAAACGCAGTCGCACGGCCTTTGTCTCGGCGGCATTTCGCTTACCAGGCTCTTCCGGCGTCAACCTCGTCACCGCCCACAACGGGTGCATGGTCGTTTTGCCCGTCTACTTCCAGTGGCGTTGCGCGGGGGCCCGTCGCTTCCAGCTCTGGAGTCGTAGTGCCTTCGGCGAAGGTGATCCCTGGAAGCAGGTAGAACGTAGACTTTTCCTTCTCCTCAGGGTTCTTCTCCCAGACCTCCACCTGCAGTTTTTCGGGGCCGGCGCTGCCGGTGTGCGCCTTGCTCTGCTCGTGCACGCGCGGCCACGGCGCGAGTGTGCCAGCCGCCACACAACCATTATCTTCTGCGTGAGTGAGTGCTGGCAAATGGACACTGCGTCATCCTGCGCTTTCAAATGCTCGTCCCGAAGCACTTGTAGCACATGGTCCGTGCAAAGATTTGTTTTGCCCAGGTCCTGGGTGCCTTCCTGCCGCAATCCCTCGCCCTGTGGCATTGAAATCCACGCTCCTTGTTTTCCCTTTTTCGTCACGGTGTCTTGTTGGTTCTCGGGGGTCCCAGTGACCGCATTGAAGGTGATCACCCTGGGCATTGCTGTCTTCTCGGCGTCCTTGTCTTTAGCCGCCGCTGCGGCTTTCTCCTCTTCGGGCGGCAGGTACTTGAAGTCGAACCAATGGCATCCGTCCACGGCCTTGACCTTGTCGCTGAATGAAGCCACTCCCTCTTTTGCCAAGGTGTTGGTGTATGTCTGGCGGCATGCCCGCATGATCGCCTTGGGCCTTCTGTTTCGCGTGGCGCACGGCGGCTTGCGTGGCCAGGGCGGCCATGTTGTCGGCGCACTAGATGCTGAGATTGGTCATGGGCACGTCCATGTTGGCTTGGGGTTGTTTCAGGAGCTCCTCGATGGCGGCTCTCACGGTCACGCAGTGCGCGTGGAACATATCTTCAATGAGCCGCAACTGCGGCTCAAAGCTTGGCTTCTTCCCGGCTGATTCAGGTATCCTGCATGGGCTTGGCCCTCCCCCGCTGTGACTTCTGCGTTGGCGCCCTGTATGCACGCGTGATGATGGCCACCTTGACGCGGGGGAACTCCGTCTTCGGCTCGCTCACGTGGGACATCGCGGGCAGGGGCGATGCTTTCACCGCAGAATCTGAGGTACCTCCCGGCGAAATTAATGAGGTTCGCCACGTGGGGGCTTCATCGGCGCCAAGGTTGAGGACGCAGTGGAAGAAGTCGATGAACGCGGAGCTGGCGCTGTATTCTCAGAGCGTGGATTACCTACCCCGCTTTCGCTTCCAGGCAACACCAAGTCATACCACGCCTCCCCGTTAAGCGGCCTGACCAGTACAGGGCGTCGCTTGGCATCGCTTGGTATCTCTTGGAAGCGAGGGTGGTCAAAAGCGAGGTAGGTTTGTTTACCCCCTATATTCCCCGACTCGGGCGCCTGCCACCTCCGTCGCGTCCGCGTCGGTGACCTCGCCGCCGCGAGCCGACCTCGAGCCAACCGCGCGAGCAAAGCTGACATTTGTTCCCCTCGTGTTATGCACGCCGCCATGGAGACATACAGGCTTGGCATCGCTCGGACGTGTGCCTTTCTGCCTCCGGCGAGGACCATCGAGGAGCATCTTTGATCGCTTGGCGAAAAAGACACGCACGAAACCGAACAAAACACAGGGAATGGACGTCCGAGCGATGGCCAGCAGGGGGCCAGACAGTGTGATACCACACACGGATGAGACGTCTCCCCCCAAAAAAACTTGGTACTTTGCACGTCAACATGGGGCCATGCAGGGTATGAAAGAAGCGAACGAGGCAGGGAGCGAGATACAACCGAAGAAACAACAAACCAATCAAGCGAAATCGACACACACACATATATATACATATATATGTGCATATAGGAACGGTAACACGATCTGGAACAAATGAAAGGAAACAACGGAACCAACATCTGATCCTGCATGTGCATGAGATGGAGTCCCGGGCAGACTTGCAAGTGTTTGTAGAGCGTTTACAGGTCTGGCCCGGAAACGCTTCTATGGCGCTTACCGGTTTTTCAGATTTAGCCTCTTGGTATCATAATTATGGTTTTTTGACGATGTGGGCAACGTTCAATCCGACCTCACGTGCCAGCGCGAATTTGGCACGTTGAACAACTGCGCATGCTTACCAAGGATATGCAAACGTCGGCCAGACGCGAAACCAAAACACGGTAAATAGGCATGGACACCGGGCGAATTTTGAGCCGAAGCGCAGAGTTATGACTGGGTCACGGTCGGAGCCGCCGCCCTTCGCCGCTCTCCTCCAGGGGAGGCCTCCTGGCCGGGCGCCCGGACGCCATCGCTGTCGCCGCCTGCCGTTCGCCCTCCTCGTTTCTGGCTGGGTGTCCTGGTAAAACGACGCGAAGATCGGGACAAAATCGGATCGGGATAATTCGAAATCTCTGAGAATCGGCGGGTTTGGAGGATGTATTGGGCGCCGCGGCCGCTCCAGAGCGTTCCGGAACGTGCTGAGAGCGCTCTGGAACGCTCTGGAGCGATTTATCCCGATCCTAGCCCTGTTTTACCTGGCGCCCTGCCGCGGGCCCCGTCGAGGCCGCCGCCGCTGCCGCCGCCGCCGCTGCCGCCGCCGCCGCTGCCGCGCTGCCGCCGCTGCCGCCGCTTGCTGCCGCCGCTTGCTGCCGTGTGCTGCGCCGAGGCGGCACGCCCTGGCGCCCGCGGGCCCGGCGCCCGCGAGCCCGGCGCCCCCGCCGCAGCGCCCCACGAGGCGCCCGCCCTCCTGTTCTTGGCATCGCTCGGACGTGTGCATCTTTCCTTCGGCGAGGACCATCGAGGAGCATCCTTGATCGTTTGGCGAAAAAACCACGCACGAAACCGAAAAAAACACAGGGAATGGACGTCCGAACAAAGGCCAGTGTTGTGACTGAAGTATCCTCATTATCGTCTTCCCTTCCTTTCGGCGACGATGGACGGGGCGAAATGAAAAGGAGAAGGCCTTCTCAGAGGGCGGCGGGGCTTCTCAGAAGCCCTGGCGCCCTCTGAGAGGGTTTTCTTGTGTCTCCGGGGAAGGCTCAGAAGACTTCTCAGAAGGCCGGGGGACTTCCGAATCTTCTGAGAAGGCCTTTTTCCTTCTCACTTCCCCCCCTCGCTCGCCGCCAGTCATTCCATCCGTTCTTCATGTCCTCGCGCCTGTGCTGCTGCTGACCGCCGCCGTTGGCCCTTTGGGTCGCTCTCGGCAGAAAAAGGGGCGGCCGCGCCCCTCACGAGCCTGCTTGGCGTCACCGCCTCCCGGGGCTACCCAGACAGGTGACGAGATTATGTCTACGATCGTGGCCACTGGGTCAGAGCTTCGCGCGGTTACACTCAACACTACGTCATGGCATTCGCGACGCTTCTCTAAACGTTTACCATCCTCTCTTTTGTCGCCATCATCGTCATCACAATCCTGATCATGGCTGTGGCGACCGCAGCCATCATATTCTGACGCAGCAGGAAAAACGATCTAACTACTCTGTTCATCTCTGTGCTGGTTTTTGTCCAAGCCGCTTCGACTCGAGCAGTTATTGTGCACGCGCGTTTGTATCAAGGATTCAAATTATTGTCGGAGTTCTTCGTTGCCAATCATGAACACCCCTGGTAAGCTTTCTCAAGCGGTCCTGGAGCGGCTCGTTTTGGAGCCACTTCGGCGCTTGACCAGCCAGCCCAGCTGCTCTGACAGTGCTCGCGCAGTTGCTTTGGGAGCAGCTGCAGGTGAAGATGCCGCAGTCGTAAGGGTTGGTGCAACTGCACCTGGAGCAGATGCTCTCGTCGTAGTTGCTGCAGATCCCATTACTGGGGCAGAAGACCCTCGAATGGCAGGTGCCTTGGCTGTTTACGTCAACTCCAATGATGTGTTGGTGCAGGGTGGCGTACCAAGCTGGATGACCCTCACTCTGCTGATTCCAGTCGGTACAACCGAGCACCAGCTTAGTGAGTTGATTCGTGGTGTTTGCGAGGCTGCTGCAGAAATCGGCGTTGTGGTTGTTGGAGGTCACACAGAAGTCACCGAATCAGTACAGAAGACTGTGGTATGTGGTACACTGTTTGGCCCCTTACATCCTGGCCTGGAGGGTCGGCAGGTACCAACTGGAGGCATGCGTACAGGCGACAGAATTCTGTTAACGAAGGCGGCCGCATTAGAAGGCACTGCCATTCTGTTGAACGACCGTGGAACTGAATTTTGTAAAAGAGGTATCTTTTCAGAAGAGTTTTTGAGGTTGGCAATCTCATCACACCGTCTGCAAGAAGTGTCCGTACACGTCGAGATGCGCGCTCTTCTGTCTTCGGTTGCAAAACACGTCTCGGCTATGCATGATCCGACCGAAGGAGGTATCGCGAATGCCTTGCATGAGATGTGCACTGCAGCTGGGCCTCGTATTGGTGTCCGCATCAAACGGGACACCATTCCTGTTCGGCAGGATACTTCTCAGATTTGCGATCATTTCGGTGTAGACCCACTCTCGCTCATCAGTTCAGGCTGCGTGTTGGCCACCGTTGATCCGCAGCATGCAGACGTAGCGATTCGAGCAGTGCAGGCTGAGGGCGTAGCCTGCACAGATATTGGCAGTGTCGTGGCCCTTCAGGATAGTTCCGATGAAGCGCTGACAGCAGTTTTCAAAGTTTGTTACGAGGACGGCGCCGAAATACGTCAACCTGATAACGACTCATTGTGGTACATTTTGTCGCAAGCCATGTTATGAAACACATAAGGGGGGCCTGATTGTAAGGCCCTGTCCGCATGTCGACGAACACGCAAGCATCTGTTGAGTCTCGCCTCAGTCCAGTGAGAGGGTTTCCCCGCATTCACGGGGCACTTGGAAATGAGTGTGTTGGCGCCTTGGCCCCGAAAGAAACAAAGACAGCATCATTTGAGGGAGCTTGTCTTGAGAACTCACGTCATCCTGACCCCCAGAGCGCGAGGGAATTGGGCCCGCCAACCGCCCCCCTGTCCCGTTCTCGGGGAATCTGGGAAATCGGGGACATGCTGGATATCCGGCGACGAATTCCAAACAGGCGCCCTCGCGTGGGATATCCTCAGAAATTTGCCCCCCAGCCTCCCCAAGGAGGCCTTCTATATACGAAAACTCCCGATCAACCGCAGAGCGGCCGGCTAGTATTCCACATCATGCCGCACGAACGTGAATGATTCTGAGACAAGCAAGCTGGCTGGGGCAAGTCTGGGCTGGCGGTGCACCAGCGGGAATGGGACGGCTTGACGACGCCAACCTCAACAAACGAGCAACACATACACACACACACACACACACACACACACGCACCCATACCCATTGGGGGGACGGAGGGGCTACGGGTGAGTGTTGCCGGTTGGGGGTCCCCGCTCGAACGGGAGCGTCCCCAGGGGTCCGATAACCGGCGCCCATCCCCATAGCCAGTCCTCTCTCCCTCCGACCCCTCTGTGGGTATGGGTGTGTGTATGCGTGTGTGTGTTGCTCCCCCCTGTCGCGCCGGGGCTCTTCCTCCTCCTCCGTGCATTGCGGCCTCAATTTGCATACAGCGTGTCCCCTGTTGCCATTCCGCCGAGCAGTCACCCTCTGCCCAGCCGCCGACGCAGAAAGAGTGTGTGTGTGTGTGAGTGTGAGTGTGGGGGGGGGGGATGGGTGTGTGTGTGCGTGTGTGTGTGTGTGTGTGTGTGTGTGTGTGTGTGTGTGGGGGTGTTCGCTCGTCGAGCGTGGACCTCCGACAGCCGCTCGCTGCTTTCCAGCTTCGGGGCCCTGGGCATCTCGACCGGTCTCCCTGGGAGCGGCGCCTCGTCTTGATACGTCTCCTTGCGAGTCGTAAGCCGGGTATGTCCCTCTACAGGAGGAATTTGCAAACATATTACAATCAAAATAGTCTGGGGACGACTTGTTTGAGCATTTGTGTTGCTATGGTTTGTAAATGTGTTGGGGGAATCTGCATGTTTTCACCAAATCCGCCTGCAAGGGGACATGCCCGAACTGATGCCAGTCGCTCGGTCCGAAGCGCGCTTTCTGGAGGCCGAACTTGAGAGGTTTCAGGGAGGGAAGAAGTACATATACTGCTACCCGTGCCTCGTTTTCCCTTGTTTTCGGGCGTCTTGGGAGGCCCTCGTCGCCACCGCTGGATTCGCTCCGAAATCGTTGTCAGAACGCACCCCAGGAGAGGTCAGGGGAGCAGCGGCATTGGATTCCGTAAAGTTACCTCAGTCTCGTTCTTCAACTGCTTGCGCCGCATCCGCCGACCCCTTTGAGGAATGTCGGTTGGCATTTGGTAGATCCTGTTTGACGGGAATTCGTTGAATGTGACGACGCAACGGGGTGATGCAGGTGATGCAGGTGCGAAGCAGCCGTGTGTGGCCGTTTGGGTTGCGGTGTCGCAGTCTAGCTGAAGGCCATCCGAAGGGCCCCATGGGGGCTCTTGGTCGGTCTTGGAGCGTCCCGGGTAAGTACGGCCTGTCCCATCGACCTCCTTGAGGAATGTCATGCTTAGTCTCTCGGGGCGTCTGAGTGGGGCCCTCGCGGGCCGTGTTGAGGCTCTCTGGGGGTGGTTCTGGAATCGTCACGGGCGCCTGGAAGCCGTTTCGGTGCAGTTTTGGGGGCAGTTTTTGGGCAGTCTTCGGCCTGTGGCGTCTGGAGCTCCTCCTTGGCTCCTCTTGGGGCGCCTGGGGCCCTTCTTGGGCCGTCTCTGGCCCATCTGAGGCCGTCATGGGGCCTCTCCTGGGCCTGGGGCTCTTCCGGGGCCTCTCTTGGGACGTTTCGGGCCCGCCTTTGGCTGTCTTGGGCCCACCTCGGTTCCCTTCGGGGGCCCATTTGGCCCGTATGGGGACTCCCGAGCCACCTTTAGCGCTCTCGCTGCAGAAATGGCGAGCGCGCAGCAATCATATAACGAGTTTCGGAACGTCTACGGAGTTGGCCTTTGGGGGGCGTTCTTGGGGAGCCTTCTGGTCAAATCGAGCTGTCTTGGGCGCGCATTAGAGTCTCTTGGACACGTGCAGGGGGGCAGAGAGGGCGAAGCTCGACCATCTTGGGCAATCCGGGAAGCCACCTGGAGCCAGCTGCAGCCCTGTGGGCGTGCCTGGAAGCACTTCTGGAGCAGACCAACCCGCGGGCACCCCTGATCTGGGCCGTCCTCTCAGCTCTTCCACGGCCCCTTCCTGGGGCGTCTGGGGTCCCTTCTCGGCTATGTTGGGGGCCTCTTGGGCCATCTCGTGGCTGTCTTGGGGCCCTCTTTGGGGCCCTCATGAGGGCCTCCGGGCCCGTCCAGGGCGATTAGGGGGGCCATCGTGGGCCGTCGTGGAGCTATGGCCATTCAGAGCCTTTCGGTTACTTCCATTCCGTAAGAAAGGGGGGGGGTCTGATTGGAAGAGGGGGTCTGATTTGGACTGTCTTGGAGGCTGGGGGGCGGGTCTGATTTTGATGTCGAGGGGTGCTTGGCCGGGGGGGGTCTCCGCGAACCTGTGGAGCTTCGGGGTGGGGGATCTGCTCTTTGATTCTTGGGGTATCAACCCTCGCGCAGGAGGGGGGGTCTCCTCGAACCCGTCTGGACCCGCGGGGGGATCTGCATTTTGACTTTTGACACGTCAAGCGTCGGCTGGGGGGGGTCTCCCTGAATCCGTCTGGGGTTCCTCCTGGGGGGGGATTGCGCCCATGTGCGATCTGATTGTTTTAGGGGCTGGGGGGGAGTCTCGCGCCAAGGTTAGATGTATCGGTTAGAATTGCACTGGCAGTAGAAACAGAGCCAGGAGAGGAAGTGCGACCAAAAGAATCAGGACCCAGAACGGGATAATGACTCCGAGGAGGAGTAAAAGGGGCACCAATACGAATGCGAGCCTAAGTAAGAATTACATTCGAAACGAGGATCGGAGTGATATTTGTAGTTCAGACGGTAGGGCTCGAGCAGGTAGGGATTGGATGGGACCCGGAATATGGCGCAGGATTTGAAGGAGGAGGGACGGTAGAGGGGGAAGAGATGGAGGAGGGGGACGAAAGGGGATTGAAGAAAGATTGCTTCCCTCTGGGCGGCCTGCAAGCACGAGGAGGAGAAGGGTGATTTTGAGGAGCGACGTAGCGTTGGGATGACGGATGAGAGGCGGAGAGAGCGACGCAACGAAAGGGGCACGGCGGGGGGGTGCCTGTTTTTTGATGCGGGCGCTTCCCGCTGGGTGGGGTCAGAAACGGCCCGTCTGGAGGGCATCAGACCGAAAGTGCGCCAGTGGATCTCCCTGAATACACTAAGGGGGGGGGGGGTCCAGAACCCCCCCCCCCCCCCCCCTTGGCGTTGGAAAGGGGGGGGGGAGGGTTCGGACCCCCCCCCCCGTGCAGGGAGTACGGAGTTGGGAGTAGGGAGTGGTGAGTAGTGAGTAGTGAGTTAGTGCGTAGTGAGTAGTGAGCGAGTAGGAAGTAGGGAGTAGGGAGTAGGGAGTAGTGAATAGTGAGTAGTGTGTACTCATAAGTGAGTAGTGAGTGGCGAGTAGTGAGTAGTGAGTAGTAGCGAGTAGTGAGTAGTGAGTACTGAGTATGGAGTAAAGAGTAATGAGTAGTGGGTAGTGAGTTAGTGCGTAGTGAGTAGTGGGTGGCGAGTGGTGATTAGTGAGTAGTGAGGAGTGGGTAGTGCGTACTGCGTAGTGAGTAGTGAGTCGTGATTAGTGAGTAGTGAGTAGTGAGTAGTGAGTAGCGAGTAGTGAGTAGAGAGTAGTGAGTAGTGACTAGTAAGTATTCAGTAGTACGTAGAGCGTAGTGAGTAGTGACTGTGATGAATAGAGAGTAGTGGGTAGCGGCAGTGGGTAGTGAGTAGTGAGTAGCGAGTAGGGAGTAGCGAGTAGTGAGTAGTGAGGAGAGAGTAGGGCGTAGCGAGTAGTGAGTAGTGCGTAGTGAGTAGAGAGTAGTCCGTAGTGAGTAATGGGTAGTGATTAGTAAGTAACGTGTAGGGAGTAGCGAGTAGTGAGTAGGGAGTAAGGAGTAGGGAGTAGTGAGCAGTGAGTAGTAAGAACTGGGTAGCGAATAGTGGGTAGTGAGTAGCGATTTGTGAGTCGTGGGTAGTGGGTAGTGAGTAGTGACTCGTGACCAAGGACTAGTGAGTTGTGACGAGTGACTAGAGATTATGTAGTGACTAGTGAGTAGGGAGTAGTAAGTAGTGAGTAGTGAATAGTGAGTAGCGGGGAGTGAGTAGTGAGTATTGAGTAGCGAGTATTGGAGTAGCGAGTACTGAGTACTGAGTAATGTGTAGTCAGTATTGAGTAGGGTGTAGTGAGTAGCGAGTAGCGAGTAGTGGGTAGTGAGTAGTGATTTGTGGGCAATGAGTAGTTAGTAGTGAGTAGTGTGTAGTGGATAGTGGGTAGTGGGTAATGAGTAGTGATTACTGAGTAGTGAGTAGGGAGTAGTGGGTAGTGCTTAGTGAGTAGTGAGTATTGAGTAGTGGGTAGTGAGAAGTGAGTAGTGAGTAGGGAGGAGGGAGTAGTGAGTAAGTAGGGAGTAGTGAGTAGCGAGTAGTGGGTGGTGGGTAGTGAGTAGTGGATAGTGAGTAGTGAGTCGTGAGTAGTGAGTAGGGGGTCGTGAGAAGTGAGTAGCGAATAGCGAGTAGTCAGAAGTGAGTAATGACTAGTGAGTGCTCTCTGGGGCTGGGGTTAGTGGTTGGGATTAGGCTTAGGGGTTTGGGTTAGGGTGAGGACTAGGGGTAGGGGTGGCGGGGGTCGGGTTCCGGAGTCAGGGGGCGGCGTGGCGAAAAGGGGGGGAGGGGGGGGGGGTCGGACCCCCCCCCTCCCCCTTTTGAAATTTTGAAAGGGGAGGGGGGGAGGTCCTCGACGACGGGTCGGGGAAAGGGGGGGGGGGGTCCCCGACGACGGATCGGGGAAGGGGGGGGAGGACGGGGGGGTCCCCCCGACGGATCGGGGAAGGGGGGGGTCTTCACCCCCCCCCCTTAACCCCGCCCCCCCCCCCCTTGGGGAGATCCAGCGGCGCACCCTCCATCAGACCCCCCCCCTTATTACGGAATGGAGGGTAACTGGTGCAGAATATCGCTTGAAGGGACCAGTTTGGCTGGTCCCTTCCATACTTTGGCGCCAGTCACATCAAGGCACTGTTGACCACATCCACCGCGGGGTTGATCGTCGATCAAGTGGATCCGCGTCGTCCAGCCAGCCAATCCATCGAGGCGCCGTCGCCAGTGGGTCCAGGTCGGTCCGGGTTGCCAGGACATTACACGCAGTGCTAGGTTAACGGTGGCAGAAAACAGAGCTTCGGATTGAGTGGTGCCCGTGGTGTTCGCATGATCGGCCGCGTGTTTCTGTGCGTTGCTATGGTGTCAGCCGCGGGCGCCCTCCTCGGTGCCGCAGGTGGAGCTCCCTGTGCGGCGCGATTCGCGTGGAGGGGTGTGCCGAAAGACAGACACGCGCGCCCGCATAAACGCAGGCGCTCTCAGTGGCGCCGCAGGCGGAGGCCCCCTGTGCGGCCCGGTGTGTGTGTGTGTGTGTGTGCGCGTGTGCGCGTGTGCGCGCGTGTGCGCGTGTGTGTGGCGTGTGTGTGTGTGCGCGTGTGCGTGTGCGTGTGCGTGTGCGTGTGCGCGTGTGTGTGTGCGTGTGAGTGCGTGCGTGTGTGTGTGTGCGTGTGCGTGTGCGTGTGCGTGTGCGTGTGCGTGTGCGTGTGCGTGTGCGTGTGCGTGTGCGTGTGCGTGTGCGTGTGCGTGTGAGTGTGCGTGTGCGTGTGCGTGTGCGTGTGCGTGTGCGTGTGCGTGTGCGTGTGCGTGTGCGTGTGCGTGTGCGTGTGCGTGTGCGTGTGCGTGTGCGTGTGCGTGTGCGTGTGCGTGTGCGTGTGCGTGTGCGTGTGCGTGTGCGTGTGCGTGTGCGTGTGCGTGTGCGTGTGCGTGTGCGTGTGCGTGTGCGTGTGCGTGTGCGTGAGGAGTGTGCCGAAACGGGCATTTGCCCGTATGTGGGCGCCCTCGTTGGTGCCGTAGGTGGCGCTCCTCTCGGGCCGGACGAAAAGGGGGGGGGGATTGGGAAAGGGGGGGTTACGAAACCTGCTGCATGCAGCTGGCTTCGGCCTCACCGAGGTGCCCATTCCTCGATACATAGCCGCCTCTGGCGCCGGGAGGCGCCGGGAAAATCCGCTCCGTGAGCTGATTCTCAACCCCCCCCCTTCGCTCCCCCCCTTTCCGCCCGACCCGATCCTTCTGCGGCACGATCGGTGCGCGGGGTGTGCCGAAGTCAGCGCGGGCCCGCAGGC